ACATTTTATCCATCAACTTAAACACATTTTCTTTATCATATCCGTTTCAATTATCCGGGAATTCATTTATTCTTCATTCAAAAGATTTATCAAATATTAAATTTAGAATAACTGACCTATTTGATTGTGATTTAGAATTTATGAATGAAATATTATGGCAATTTCAAATAGAAAAAATAGCTGATGAGATAACGGATTAAATATTTATTTTTAAATCATAATAAATGATTAAACAACAGCAACCACAACAACTTAAGGCGCAAAGCACCCAGGTCCTTCAGACCATTACATACGCCATATATGCATATAATTCAAAGACAGCAGAAAAACACAAAGGTTGAAATATGGAGATTTGGAGATAGTATTGAAAAATGACCATTTCGAATTCGTTTGCAAAGGTGGTGCAGTGATATCAAATATAAAAGAAATTTTATTTATGAATTCAAAAATTAAAGGTATAACGGATGATATAACATCAATTCCACTAGAAGAACAAAGATATTACGCATTAAATGCATTTCCTAAAGTTTTGAAGATTGGAAGATTTAATTTAAATGAGGAATTCATAAAAGGTTTCCTTAATGACATAATGAAGAAGGCAGATAAGGAATATGTTAATGGTGAATTAATGAAGAAGGCAAATTTGGTTTATGTTGATGAAAAAGATAATGAAATTAAAGAAAGGGTTGAATGGTATCATGAATGGACATCAAAGATTTTAAAAACTAAAGCTGATACAGGATGGGTTTCGGGATGTTTAGACCTTAAAGCAGATAAAACTTATGTTAATGATGAGTTAGAGAAGAAGGCAAATTTGGTTTATGTTGATGAAAAAGATAATGAAATTAAAGAAAAGGTTGAATGGTATCATGAATGGACATCAAAGATTTTAAAAACTAAAGCTGATACAGGATGGGTTTCAGGATGTTTAGACCTTAAAGCAGATAAAACTTATGTTAATGGTGAGTTAGAGAAGAAGGCAGATAAGGAATATGTTAATGAAATATACCAAAGTTTGATAGGAACAACTAAAAATATTGAAACTATTGTTGGTGACTTTTCTGTCAATGAAGAAAATAAATATTTTAGATGGCAGTTTGTACAATCCTTAAAAAATGGTACACGGTGTAAACTCATTCCGAAAAATAACAATGAAATGTATGTAAGCTATAAAAAGAATGATGGAACACAAGTTAAAGTTCCATTAGACAACAACTGCTACTTAAACTTAAGAGTTTATGAAATGACAGATATGACATTGCCTGACCCAGCTCCAGCACCATATTATTATGACTATGGAGATGACGACAGAACACCACATGTAGATGAACAAAAGCTAACATTATATTTAGATTATTATAGATATAAAAGATATAATGCAATAGAAAAAACGAGAATAGTATATTATTATACAGATGACAGAAATAAATATTATAGTCAAGATTTTACCTACCCTGAAAACATAAGATTATATTATAAAAAATATTCTGACACAAACCAGAAGAAACCTGAAATAGTTGCACTATATTTTAAGTTCAAAAGAGACAATCCTATATTATCTCATATGTTTGATTTAATGAACCCAGTAGGTTCTATTTATACATCTATGGATGCAAGAGGTCCTCAAGTAATGTTTGGTGTTGGTGCATGGGAACAAATAGTTGACAGGTTTTTGTATTGTGCAAACTCTTCAAAGGAAACAGGTGGAAGTAAAACGATTCAGGTGAAAATTTACCTGCACACAGTCATTACATAGATTTAAGTACATCTCAAGCGGGTTGGCATAAGCATAGATATTGGGATTGGTCAGGAATGACAAAAGGTAAAGGATATGATGTTAAAGATGATGTTAAGTTTGCTATAAATTGTTACTGGAGTGACACTCAGGGAGAAGGAAACCATACACATTTCGTTTCAGGATATACACAAACAACGGGACAAAGTAAAGAATACATGCCACCATTTATGACTGTATTCGCATGGTATAGAGTTCAATGAATCATTTATTTTTATCATAAACAACCAAAAATATATGTTTACGTTAATGGTTTCAAGTCATTCAATAATTATTTATTTTTGAATAACTGATAGGGTCACCGGATCACCAGGTCACCAGGTAATTTAACTTCTCTGAAAAAATGAGACAACATGACATTTTGACAACAGTGACGGAAATAAATTTTTATCATAAACAACCAAAAATATATGTTTACGTTAATGGTTTCAAGTCATTCAATAATTATTTATTTTTGAATAACTGATAGGGTCACCGGGTCACCAGGTCACCAGGTAATTTAACTTCTCTGAAAAAATGAGACAACATGACATTTTGACAACATTAACAAAGGAAATAAATTTTTATCGTTAATGTTTACGTTAATGTTTACGTTAATGGTTTCAAGTCATTCAATAATTATTTATTTTTGAATAACTGATAGGGTCACCGGGTCACCAGGTCACCAGGTAATTTAACTTCTCTGAAAAAATGAGACAACATGACATTTTGACAACATTAACAAAGGAAATAAATTTTTATCGTTAATGTTTACGTTAATGTTTACGTTAATGGTTTCAAGTCATTCAATAATTATTTATTTTTGAATAACTGATAGGGTCACCGGGTCACCAGGTCACCAGGTAATTTAACTTCTCTGAAAAAATGAGACAACATGACATTTTGACAACAGTGACGGAAATAAATTTTTATCATAAACAACCAAAAATATATGTTTACGTTAATGGTTTCAAGTCATTCAATAATTATTTATTTTTGAATAACTGATAGGGTCACCGGGTCACCAGGTCACCAGGTAATTTAACTTCTCTGAAAAAATGAGACAACATGACATTTTGACAACATTAACAAAGGAAATAAATTTTTATCGTTAATGTTTACGTTAATGTTTACGTTAATGGTTTCAAGTCATTCAATAATTATTTATTTTTGAATAACTGATAGGGTCACCGGGTCACCAGGTCACCAGGTAATTTAACTTCTCTGAAAAAATGAGACAACATGACTTTGACAACATTAACAAAGGAAATAAATTTTTATCGTTAATGTTTACGTTAATGTTTACGTTAATGGTTTCAAGTCATTCAATAATTATTTATTTTTGAATAACTGATAGGGTCACCGGGTCACCAGGTCACCAGGTAATTTAACTTCTCTGAAAAAATGAGACAACATGACATTTTGACAACAGTCATGGAAGGAGGATGCAGTCCAAAAATAAAGTTAGTTTTAAAATTATTTTTATTTTTTTATTTCTATATAAATGACAGCAACAAACAACAACAGCAACTATATCGTTTCTGATGAATTAGTTATTGATTCATTAGTTGAGGAATTAGCTGATTCATTAGTTGATGAAAAAGTTATTGATTCATTAGTTGATGAAAAAGTTATTGATTCATTAGTTGAGGAATTAGTTGTGGCAGAAACTAAAACCCTTAACGAAAGAATTGGTGAAAACAAGATTGATTTACATAACTACTTCAAACATGATGGAGGAAGAGGAAGGAAAACTGGTATGGCTTTATTAGTAAATAAAATTTCAAATTTAACGATTATAGATGTTGATATCAATAAATCATACAATGATGAACTTAAAGAAACAGTTAGAAAAGACATTTTATCAAAACTTTCGGATAAAGATGTTATCGTTAAAACCGCTTCAGGAGGTCTTCATATTTATTGCAACACTAATTTCTTCTATGCAGTTTCGAACAGAATGATTAAATGTTATTCCTGCAATGATTATGATATTGATATAATGACTTCAATGGATGATTCAAAGCGTTCATTAGTAGTTATGGCTGATTCAAGAGTTCGCAAGAATGCAACAGAACCAATCAATACATACTCATTCATTCGTGGAAGTTATGACTCAACATTAACCAGAACAGTGAATGATATATTAAATGATTTGAATATTAAGGTAAGAGTTGAACAAAAGAATGAAGAAATAAAGACTATCATGAATGGAAACAAAGATGTAAACATTGACGATAAACTAGCTCAGAGCATAGTTGATGGCATCTGTGATTTTGAAGTACATAATGACGGTGGAAACATGAATTTAGAAAAAGAAATAACATTATTCACACTGTTTCAAGCAATTAATTCGTTACCTAATCATTTGATTAATGAAGCATACGATAACGTTTATAACTTCTGCAGTTTAACAGAAAATGCAAAAAGTAATTTTGAAAAAGCACGTGAAAGATATGCATATTTAATGACTTCTCCATTTGTTTTGGTGAAGATTCTAAAACTATATCAAAAGGAATATTATGATGAATATGTTTTACCTTTATTACGTAAGCCAAAAATAACATTTGACATCAAACTTGATGACTCGTTTTTGATAACAGATATTAGACGCAAGGCTGAAAATCATCAGTATAAAAACAGTTCTGAAGTAATTGAGGATTTATCACATGTAATCCGTTTTGTAGATTGTGGAAACAAATACTTCATTCAGAAAGATTACAACATACACGACAAAATGAATCAAATATCATTCGTTCTTCAATCAAACATGAAAGAGTCACTTAAAATGATTAAATTATTTAAAGAAGAAGGTAAAACAATAACAGCATGGGATGTACTATTAAATCAATTGTCTTCATTAACCGTTAAGGGTGTTTGCTTTAAATCTGATTCCCCAGATGTTTTCTCAACGTTTCAAGGTTATAAATACAACATTCTCGAAAAACCAGATTACTCAAAAATTGAAATGTTTATGAATTTCATTAAAGAAGTCATTTGTGATAATAACGATGAAGTGTATAAATACCTTCTCGGCTGGATTGCATCAATGATTCAACATCCTGGAATCAAGAATGAAACAGCAATTATTTTGAAAGGACTTCAGGGAACAGGCAAAAATAGATTTACAGACATTATTTCTGAACTTCTCGCCGGTTATTCATGCAAAAACATTACTGAAATAGGTGAGCTAACGGGTAATTTCAATTCAGTAGTTGAGAATAAAATGTTTCTTGTACTTAATGAACTCAAGAATGTTGGTGAAGACAGACTCGCAAACTTCAACGCTTTGAAATCAATTATTACGGATAATGAGATTAGAATTAATGAAAAGAATCAACCCAGAAGAACAGCACAAAACGTTGCCAATTTCATTTTCGTAACTAATAACGTCTACCCTGTCAAAATTGAAGTTGGAGACAGAAGATATGTAGTTTTAAGAGTTAATGGTAAATTTAAGGGTCAATTTGATTACTTCAAGAATTTGATGAATTCATGCACAAAGGAATTTTATGATAATTTACTGACGTATTTTATGCAATATGACCTTTCATCATTTAATGTACGAATCATTCCGATGACTGAAGCCAAACAAGATTTAATTGAATTATCAACAAATCCTTTAGATGTATGGATAAATACACATTATGATGAATTGTGTGCAGGTATGACGTGTAAAAATGCTCTATTCTGCAAACCATCAGACATGAAAGACAAGAATTTCCAAATGAGTATTAAGGATAAATGTGATAGGAAACAAAGAAAAATAGATGGTAAACAGACATGGTGTTATGTTTTGAAAGAAGAAATGAAAGGATTATATAAACAGGTTGAACCAAACGATAATGAGGATTCATTTACTGACGATGAAATACTTGTAAATGAAGCTTTATAAAGTATGATTTGAATTTATTTTTACATTAATCACACCTGTTGTCAAAATGTCATGTTGTCTCATTTTTTCAGAGAAGTTAAATTACCTGGTGACCTGGTGACCCGGTGACCTCATCAGTTATTCAAAAATAATTAATAAATACCATCCTCTTTTCATACCTGTTGTCAAAATGTCATGTTGTCTCATTTTTTCAGAGAAGTTAAATTACCTGGTGACCTGGTGACCCGGTGACCTCATCAGTTATTCAAAAATAATTAATAAATACCATCCTCTTTTCACACCTGTTGTCAAAATGTCATGTTGTCTCATTTTTTCAGAGAAGTTAAATTACCTGGTGACCTGGTGACCCGGTGACCTCATCAGTTATTCAAAAATAATTAATAAATACCATCCTCTTTTCACACCTGTTGTCAAAATGTCATGTTGTCTCATTTTTTCAGAGAAGTTAAATTACCTGGTGACCTGGTGACCCGGTGACCTCATCAGTTATTCAAAAATAATTAATAAATACCATCCTCTTTTCATACCTGTTGTCAAAATGTCATGTTGTCTCATTTTTTCAGAGAAGTTAAATTACCTGGTGACCTGGTGACCCGGTGACCTCATCAGTTATTCAAAAATAATTAATAAATACCATCCTCTTTTCATACCTGTTGTCAAAATGTCATGTTGTCTCATTTTTTCAGAGAAGTTAAATTACCTGGTGACCTGGTGACCCGGTGACCTCATCAGTTATTCAAAAATAATTAATAAATACCATCCTCTTTTCACACCTGTTGTCAAAATGTCATGTTGTCTCATTTTTTCAGAGAAGTTAAATTACCTGGTGACCTGGTGACCCGGTGACCTCATCAGTTATTCAAAAATAATTAATAAATACCATCCTCTTTTCATACCTGTTGTCAAAATGTCATGTTGTCTCATTTTTTCAGAGAAGTTAAATTACCTGGTGACCTGGTGACCCGGTGACCTCATCAGTTATTCAAAAATAATTAATTATTGAATGACTTGAAACCATTAACGATAAAATAACTGATAACAAAATTTTATTTTTATATAAATGAATACCCCACAAGCTCAAAATTTACCACGAATCATAACAAGGGAGGAAATGATAAAAATGATGCAAGAACTAATTAAAACAACAAACCACGAAAACCGAGAAGATGAGGAATAAAAATTAAATTTGGATTGAGTTTAAAAATTCATCTTTATTAAATTCATCTTTTCCAACCAATTTATTTATTCTATTAAATTCTTTTATTTTTGCTTCACTCAGTTTAAGGATTGAACGGTAAGTTTCTAATTTTTCGATTATTTCTTTCACCTCTTTATCGTTTTCAACCCCACCACATTGCTGCTTCTTTTTGCAATAGCATATTTTTGATTTAATTCTGTTTAGTTTCTTTTTATATTCATCGTCTGGACTCTTGGCTGCTTCGTTGTCACTCATTTCTTACGAAATAAAAAAAATTAAATGTTATTTAAATATAATGGAGTAATAAAATAAATCGGAATTTCTATTAATTTATTGTTAACCTCAACTAATACATTACCATTAATATATCTAACAAATTCAGCTATTGTGTCAAATCTTCGTCTTCTTTTTGTCATTGATTTATCAGTTTTTCCATAATCGAGATGAATCAAAACTTTATCCCCTTGTTTAAAATTCATGAGCCCCGAATTAATTTGTTCACGTTTAACATCATTTAACCTTTCCATTTGCTTTCTAATATATTCCCATTCTTTTGAAATATCATTTTTCATTTCCACTGGTTTCATGTTTATAGTTCTATGCCATGTATTATTGTAATAATATACTAACTGCTGTATGATGGAGTCATGATTTCCATCCCAGTATATCTGACCGTTAACTCCTAACGCATCTCTAAGAGTTCTCATTACTGCATCAACTATTTTATTATGAAACGTATATGGAGAGGATGAAAAGTAAAAATTAATTTGTGGGAAATAATGAGCCATAGCTGCCTGAAATCCTTTATCACCATCACCCCTGATATTATCTACTCTTTCATGATCTAGTAAGTATTGAATAGCTCTTCTTGTTTCCTGTTCTGTTTTCCCTTTCACTGGAATGCAATATAAATATCTTGTGTTAATGTTAATGACAAATAAATAAGTAACATTTCCTTTTGAATATTCTAAATGATCGATTTCGTATGAATATGGATATGGTGCAAATGAAGGGCGACTAAATTTTTCCTTTAACGGTTGAATTTTTGGGTCAATTGGTTTATTTAATATCTTGAAATCCTTTTTAAAATCTTTTTGCTTCTTTAATGTTTGAAATGGATATAATAAAGTGAATGATGAAGGATTAACTGAAGGAGGAGGTACTACTGTTGGAGGTTTTGGTGTTACAAGTGGTTTAATTTTATCTGCTTTGATTTTGGATGATGAAGTTTTGGAATTCATTCCTCCTTTCATTAATTCTGGATGTATTCTATTCATTTGTTTTAAATATGCTGTATATAAAGGTTTGATATACTTTCCCGCTTCGAGTTTATGTTGAAGGATAAATTCCAAAAGTTGATCTTCATTTAAAAGTCGGACTGAATGTGGTTTAACTAATGAATCATAAATTAAAGCTTGTGCTTCATTTATGGTCTGAATGACCTGGGTGTTTTGCACCTTTAGCTTTTGTTCCTTTGTTTTTTGCAGCTCAGGATTATATAATTTATATAATTCATCAATATCTTCTTCTGTTAATACTTTATTTTTGAAATCTTTCAATTGTTTAAGCTGTGATTTAGTTTTTCCCTTTGCATATTCATTATTTTTAATTTTGTCTTTAATTTTAGAAATTATTTTATCATGATATTTCAAAATTTCATTTTTATAATAATGATAATAATAATCCATATCATCACCCGTTATATTTTCATCATATTTTTGGAGATATGCTTTTAATTCATAATAAGTAAGAAAATTTTGATTAAATACTAAATCATCAATTAAAATTTTTAAATCTACATTATCCATTTATATAAAAATAAAATAAATGTTTTAAGGGCGCCCACCTCTTTGATCAAGAATCAAAACCATTATTAACGGTTCCTTTTGTCTCTTCTGTGGCATTTCATTAAAAATAAAATTTTAAATTGTATTAAATAAATGGCATACAACATCCATTTTCACAACATACAGCCTTAGTGTGTGCTCCTGTTAATGCAGTCTTACCGATTGTTAAGCGAGTCATCGTCCTGTTTTTAAGTTGTAAATTAATATTCTGACCATCAAATATCACTTTATCATTTATTATATCCAAATAATTTTTAGGTGTTAATTGTTTATTTTGTCGTAAACTAACACCTTTCATTTTTTGTGCAATCTTAGTTAGTATACATATCATGGGTACGGAGGCACTGCGCGCCTCCTTACCCCTGATATGTGAATTTGACACTTTACAAAACCGTTAACGTATATTTTACAACACAAACGACAACACTAACTTAACCTTAAATATTTACAAAGCCGCCAACCACTTCACCTCACTAATGTAAAAATAAACGTTCTCACTTACAAAAGTATTGCAACTCCTCCCATTGCTGTGCTTCATATAACAGCTCATAATCTTCTGACTCACTTTCTTCTTCATATAGGTCAAAATCACTGTCATAGTTTATACCTGTAAGTTTTGACAAAGCTAATGAAACACGCTTACCGTTTGTATCATATGCTTGTATAAACTTTCCATTATGCTTGTAGTCATAAACGCTCAAACTAACTTTACCCTTTCTCCCTCGTATCTGATAGAATGTATTTTCACGAGGAACGAAGAATAAATTCTTGAACTCATGACCGTTGTAGTTTGTTATCTCAATAGTTTTCGTCATTTATATAAAATTAAAATAAAAAATAAAATAAAAAATTAATGATATCACCACCCTCACACGTATGAAAACATCCATTTAAACTTAGGTGAAGTGGTGAGATCTCACCTCTTTTTTCACCTGTTTTTTCACCCCGTTGAACTCATTGCTTTATAACTCTCTTCCTTGGTTTCTTTTTAGTTGCTTTCTTCACGTCTGTCTCCAACTTGACTGTCTTTCTTCTTCGTCCGTAATGATACCAATTACTTCCACCAGTCAATGGGTCAAATGGTCTTTCGTAAGGGTTTCCATACATTCCATAGGGACCATACGGAAGAACTACTGGTGGAGAAGAAACATTTTCTTTAGTTCCATCGAATCTATTTAAATGCATTGTTTCACCTTTCATCTGGTCATTAAAGTCTTTTGCGTGTTTTGCAAACTCATCGTCCTTTCCTAAAGCATTTTCTGACTCAGTCGCAACCAAATTGGATGCTTTATTTATGAGCCCTATTTTATTTAATCTTAACTTCTTTGCAACCCAGCCTCCAATCTTCCCTTTATTTGCATCTAATGTCTTCGAAACCCTTCCTCCACTCATTTTATTTACTGCGTCATAAGCTCCAAGTGCTTTTGCTCCAAATGCTAATGCTTTTGTTCCCATTGCGCCTAAAGCTGCCCAAGCTACCATTTACACCATATTAAAATCATCTCTCTTCAATATTATCTCATAAAAGTTCTCGTTACTGGAGAAAGTCAATGAAACATAAGCGTTCTCACGGGCTTCGCCCTCACCGCTTTGCGGTCTATCTAACTTATTTCTTATATCATCTATACGCTTCAAAATGTCTGAACAATTGCTAACATCTTCTACAACTGTTATTTCATCATGAACGACCTTTAAGAACAAGCTCATTTAATATGCAATTAAAATCATCTCAATAATGAGTCCATCCTTTCCATCTTTAGGTAGCACAACATCTTTCATTGAAGAAGGTTCGACAAGTCTTATATTAAACTTACTGACAAAGTTTGTTATACTATAATGCTTCGGCGGCGAATACATGTAGTTTGAAAGGCATAATATAGATTCTTCAGCAAATTCACTTATACTGGATTTTATAACAATGTTCTCACGAGACCAAATACCACCAATTGACAATCTTGTAAGCAATCCTGCTGAACCTTCTACTGTAAACGTCGATGGTAACATTCCACGAAGGTCATCTATTGACATCGTTGAGTCACTGTATTTAAATATTTTCTTAAAGCAATCGTCATTATCTAACCATGCAATAGCTTTGAAATTTTCATTCGAATATACATCTGCTTCATTAAATGTAAATCCTGACTTCTTTGCAGAGACGACTTTAAAATCTATTGAGTTTGTTTCAAAATTATATGCTATGGTAACTTCTGAAGGTAATGGATGTCCTTCCGCAGTCAGTTGTTCTCTCACTACCGTTTGAAGCTTTGTGTTAAAAACTTTCATGTCATCTCCTGTATCTAAGTTCACATACACAGCAACAGGGAAACTATCTTGCTTCTTTGTTTCATCATTATACCTCAAAACATTAAAGTTCTTCAATAATATTGTTCTTCCTGCTGGAATACTTCTAACTTGTCTTATTTCAATAGCTTTCTCACCTCCTACATACTCTACCCAGTGTCTTGGATATTCATAAGTATACTGACTTTCTTGAATTTTGGTTGGTTTCATCATAACATGTTCATAGTATATCTTTATACTCTTGTCAGTTAGACTCGGTGCTATGTTCTGAATATTTCTGACTTGCATTTTTAATGGAGATAAAATGAAGCATTTAATACATGACGTAGATGAAGACATGAATGAAACTACAGACAAACTTAACTCTTCTCTTATTCTTCCTTTCAGCAAAGATTATGAGTTCTGTTCAAATGGTGTTTATTTCTATTGTGGAAAGATGGGTCAGGAAAGACATTCAACCTCATTCGTCATATACTCATAACAGAACGTTTAGGAAACGACTCTTACTATGACCAAATCATTATATCAGCAACTTCAGACTCTATGGATTCAACAGCGAAAAACATTTATGTCAAAAGTTCAAGCCTCTGTCGTTAAAGTTCCAGACAGTGAACTCATTGAATTTCTTCAACGTTACATTCGACGTAAGAGAAAATATTATGCCATCGTTGAATTTATACAGTCAGGAATGCAAAAGACTTCTGAGGAGATGGAAAGAATTATTGACAAACACCACTTACGTCAATACTCAGGAGTTTACGATATGAAACGACTTACAAACTACATTCTGTCAAAACTTTCAAAATACCCCTTCAAAAAATATCCTTCAAATACTTGTTAGTTTGCGACGACTTCGCCGGAAAAGGTTTAGTTCAAAGCCTGACTCACCATTAGCTAACATCATAACTAAAGTCAGACATTACCACTTAACTGTAGCAATACTTATGCAAACATGGAGGTTTTTAGCTTTAAACATAAAACGTCTCATAACTGACTTCGTTATCTTTCAAGGTTTCTCACGCTATGATATTGAACTCATTTGGAAACAGTCAGGTATAACATTACCTTTTGAAGAAATTTGGGAAGCATATAAGTCTCTCATCTCTCCTCGTTCATACCTTGAGATTCATATCATGACTAATACCATTAAAGTCAAAAATATTCCATGGGAACGACCAACATTGTTTTAAAGTTTAACCTTCAATTGACTGATGGTAAACAAATTCCATGCATCTCTGTCGCCATTTCTGTTAATATTTTTGCTGTCATTCATATCATCCACTTCCCCATCCGTTAGCTTTTGAGGATATGCGTTAGAATAGCTGTTCTTAAATGAAGGCTTTTCACCTTTGAGAGCATAAACTCTATAACTTTCTGCATACTTTATGTTTGAACCTCCTGAGCCATCATTGACATAAATTTTTATAGGCTTCCACCCTTTGTTCATGTTCCTGCTTCTTCCCTTAGCTCTTTTGTTCAGTAGTTCTACATCTTTATACACAGCCTGTCTCAGTGAATTCAACAATATTTTCATTCGTTAGCTTTACATTCAAACCCTTGTCGAGTATATTGTTCATTTCATACATATAAAAGGTTTTTATTCTATATGAAATGAGAAGCAAATCCATCTTAGCTGGTGCCGTTAA